ATTCTCAAAAAAAAGAGGGGCTGGGAAGGTGGCTCAGTGGTAGAGCACTTGCCTTGCATGCCTGAGGCCCTGGGTTCGATTCCTCTGCACCACATAAACAAAAAGAAAAAATCCGGAAGTGGCGCTGTGGCTCAAGTGGTAGAGCGCTAGCCTTGAGCTGAAGAGCTGAGGGACAGTGCCCAGGCCCAGAGTTCAGGCCCTATGACAGGACCCCCCCAAAAAAAAGAAAGAAAGAAAGAAAAAAATAGCTTTAAGATTAAAAAAAAAAAGGAGTCAACAGCTTGCAAAGAAATATTTCATTAAAAATCAAAACCAAAAAACCCAAACTCAACCATAAAGACAATACCACTGACCCAGTGAGCTGTGGTGGTAACAGCGCATAGGGTCTCACCTTAGGCATATATGACAGCCAGTGCAGGACAGTGAAAACTCCTTCAAAGTCATCACACACAGTGCAGTGGGTGACCCCATTGTTGTGCATGATCTGAATGCCCCCAAGCTGGTTATTGGAGGTGTACACTTCTCGCCCGAGAACCTAGAAAAATGACAAGACACGTTTGGGATTACAGAAATAAAGACAGAGTTTATTTCATAATTATCTCTAAAACAGCTTCATTTCTCCATAAGACAGAGATTCTAGCTTATGTGAATTATTCTGAGTGACTATTAGGACCATATTCATGAACAGAAAAAAAACAAAAAAACACCTTAGGAAAGAGACAATCATGTACAGTACTAGAACCCCAGGAACCCCCTCCCACCAAATAGCTTGCGTAGATATGCGAGGCGGGGGGGGGGGAGGGCACACTTAAGACTCAGAGCTGAAATTGCAATGGTGTGTAGATTGGGACTGTGAGGCAGAGGCTACCTTTTCATGTGCAAGTCTGGCAGAACTGTTACATGTACACATAAAAGATAACATGTCTATCGTCTGACAATCTTTAGTGATGGGTCTCTGTTAAAGAAACCCTGTGGAGGTTTGGGTTTCTCATTTTTTTAAGGATTAGCTTTTTAAAACCTGAAACAGCTCACATGGCACACACAAACCCGAGTCTCAAGTCCTCTTTGTGTGTTGGGTGCAGGGCTGTGATTTATTCCCTAGCCTGCTTTTCTTCCATCCTTCCTTTCTCCCAAGGCTGGGGGCGGGGGGGGGGGGGGGGGGAATTCAAGACCTCATCCTAGTGTCTCTGGAGGAGTTTAACCCTTGTCAGGTCAAAGGGCACCTGTAATTGGAAATCACAAAGTTTCCTTTAAAGAAGAAAAATGGAAGAAGAAATATTCTTGGACTTAGAAATTGTAGGGTTTCTTTTCCCCCTTGAAGATTGGTTAATAATTTCTTTCAGGGAGGGAGGTTTTCTGACCCAGCAGATGGAAGCCGGGCAGCCTGATCACTGACTATTGCAAACTGCTGAGTGTGTGGTAATTGCCAGTCATCTAGGGTAGCCCTGGAGAGCTCTAACCAGTTGTGGAGTGCTTACTGTATTTTTCACTTTTCTTTTCCCTTTCTCCTCTCTGAAAAAATAACAAAACAAATTTCCTTCCTTACTAACTTTTATTCATTTTCAGTCTCTGGAGAGAATCTAATAAATTAAGGAACAGCCAACTGTACCTGTTTATTCTCAATTGGCCCCTTCTTGTTAGGTGCTTTAAAAGGTTCCCCTCCATACAGGGTCAACCCCTACCAAGGTTTTCCAAAGGCTGAGGAAGCTGGTGGCTTAAGTAATAACCTCACTGTGACCCAACTGGCCTTAGTTTCATTTAACTTCAGCTAGGAAGGGCATAAGAGAGTTTTCTGAAAGGAATATGGAAAGCAAAATTGCTCTCAGATTACTGCTTTCTTTGATAAGGAAGCAGGGAGAACAAGTCTTTACAGGCAGCCCCAAGCTGAGCAGCATGCTGGCAGCTCCTTTGAAGGAGCCCTGTGAACAGGGGAGACCATATCTGACCACTGGGCTCCCATCCTCCTCTCAGTCCGTCTTTAATCTCAGCCCAGGCACTGCGGCTCTTTTCTCATTCTCCTGCTGTCTCTTTCCATTTGCCCTCTCTCTGACTGATACACTGATCTCTCGGTCACTCGGCTTTCTGCTCCACTGAGTCCATATTACTAATAACACCTCCGCCACGGCCAGTTTACCTCATGAAGGCAGGAGCACATCATTACAAAATAAACTCATAACTTTGACATTCTAGCAAATACACGCCGTTTGTTATTTTTATGGCTTTAGTCTTTCTAACAGGCAGAGGACATTACATACCTGTTTCATTTCTATCTTTAAAGTGTGTGCACACACGCACACTTGCACATGCATTGGAAAACAAAACAGAGCAAAAAAACCCCAACTCAAACAAATAGCCAATGCAGCCAGTCGGCGGGAGACCCTGGTGGAGGCAGAAACCCTGTCACTCAGGGAGGCCATGCTCTGATCTGGCTCTGGTTTTATGGTCGTCATAAACCTGATGGCCCAAAACTGGTCCTTCTGGGACAGACTGCCTCTCTGCTAGAAGTCATTCAGTCTGATCAGCAGTATTTTTAATTATCAAAATAAAATTGGAATGAAGAAAAGGGGATAAAGAGGAGACATTGTGACCCTGGATATCTGATATTCACAATGTATATCAGGAGCCAAGTACTCAATGTTACCTAAAAGAGAGGGCCATTTTCTGCTCAAACACTGTTTTCTGCCCTATCTTTAATATTTGATAATATCCAGCCAGTAGAACTGTACACACTTCTAAACTCAGTAATAAACCAATGACCAAAAAGGGATCAAAGCAGACCAAGAGCTGCATTGTTGTTTAAAATGCACCTTCCTTGGGGCTAGGAATGTGGCTTAGTGGTAAAGTGCTTGTCTGGCATGAATGAAGCCCTGGGTTCAATTCCTCTACCAGATAAACAGAAAAAGCCAGAAGTGGAGCTGTAGCTCAAGTGGTAGAGTGCTAGCCTTGAGCAAAAGAAGTTCAGGGACAGTGCCCAAGCCCCGAGTTCAAGCCCCAGGACTTGCAAAATAAATAAAATTAAAATTGAATGCTCCTTCTTCAGATGTCATTCCCTCTCAATCCAAGGAAGAGAAGAGCCAGTCTCAGAAAGAGGGGTTCTGTTACTGATCCTATCTCTTTTAGTGTGTGTACTGGGGACTGAAACCCAGCACACACTCTACACTGAATTACATACACTTCTACCAATTCTCTACCATGGATTTTTATAAGAAATAAATTTGTTTTTTTGTTTTTTGTCAGTAGTGGGGCCTGAACTCTGGGCCTGGGCGTTATCCCTCAGCTCTTCAGCTCAAGGCTAGCACTCTACCACTTGAGCCACAGCGCCCCTTCCAGCTTTTTCTGCTTATGTGGTGGCTGAGGAATCAAACCTAGGGCCTTATGCATTCAAGGCAAGCACTCTACCACTGAGCCACCTTCCCAGCCCCAAGAAACAAATTTGAAAGGAGTAAGTTTGAAACCTACCACATCTCTTTCCAAGCTAAACTGCAAAACTCTGATGCTACATAATAACACTGTTGTGGAAAAGCAACAGCATTTCTACATCCTTTCTCTGGGTTCTATAGACACCTAATGACAGTTTACTGCAACCAAGAACAGTATGTCTAAGCTCAAGAAATGTCATTCATCTGAGAAGATTCATTTAATTTGTAAGTAAGAAAAAATAATCATAGGCTAGACTAATAGAGCATCTAAAGAACCATTTCTGATCAGCATTATCTTTGGAAATGGAGGTAGAAATGGACACACAGAAATGAAATCTGCTCCACTAACCAGAAACAAACAGCAACAATCACAGCTACTTAACAATCAGTGAGGAGAAAACAGTGTATCCCGCCCCCCAATCCCGCGTGGGTTCATCTTCACTACAGGTTTGGAGTATGTATTGGTAGGATGAGGGCACACACAATAGCTCCTGATTTATAGAGGCTGTTGCTGACTCAAGTGGTTTTAATGATTTTAGAATACTTCACAACAAAAGCTCCAACCAAGGAAGCAGAATGTGGGCTAGGACAAAATCCATTCTGCTTAACTCTGAAATGATCACACAAATCCTAATCAGCCTCTAGGAAGATGACAAGAGCCCACGGAGAACCACTGCTCTTTCCTTCAATATGTTGGCCTTCCAACCTTCAACAGAAAAATCTGGGATCAACAGCTCTCATCATCACACTACTTTCATCAAGCAGGCAAGCTTCATTTATCACTCTCTAATCCCCGACACAGGCACTTCTGTATTAGTCACCTTGCTTTCAACGTTTCAGTTTCCAAATTATCCCTCTCACATATATTTTCTATTGAAATTACAAACTTTTTTTGGGGGGGTCAGTTGTGGGGCTTGAACTCTAGGCCTGGGTACTGTCTCTGAGCAATTCAGCTCAAGGCAAGAACTCTACCACTTGAGCTACAGTGCCATTTCTGGTTTTCTGATGGTTAATTGGAGATAACAGTCTCATGGACTTTCCTGCCCAGGCTGGTTTTGAACTGTGATCCTCAGATCACAGCCTCCTAAGTAGCTAGGAATACAGGCATGAGCCACCAGTGCCCACCCGGCAAAATGTGCTTTTGGTTTTGTTTGTTTGTCCTGAGCTTCTTTTGTTCAAGGCTAGCACGCTATTACTTGACCCACAGCACCACTTTTAGCCTTTTCCATTTATGTGGTATAGAGAAATTGAACCCAGGGCGGCTTCATGCATGCTAGGTAAGCACTCTACTGCTACATTCTACATTCCCAGCTTGCAAACTTTTTATACATCTTCCCAATAAGCATCAATTGGCATTTCAACACAGGAGCCACTTAACAGGAGGTGACATTCCTGAGGGCCCCTTTGCCCTCTAGCTCTAAGTAAAGAGGCAACAACACCATGAAGAATTATTAGGGATGGCACCATCTTGTGATCCTCTGCTGAAGAATGCTCAGGAAAACAGAGCTGGATAAAGGCTGAATCTGAGAGGCAAAGAGGATCTCCACAGTTTCCTGAAAAACTTAAACCTCATCCAATATTCCATTCACTGAACTGGCTGATCTGAAAATTAAGGCACCACATAAAAGCCAGTGATTAGCAGAGATGCAATTGTTAAAGGCTCCACCAAGGATGCTACAGAACCTTTAGAAATTCTAAGATACATAAGAGGTAAAAATGAATGCAGTCATACATACATGCTAAGGTCTCTGCTGCTACTGCTGCTTATCTAGAGACATTGCAGACAGCTCAGGTTTACCATAGCTGACAGGCAATGAAAACAGTCTAATATACCGCCTGCTCTTGCCCTTAAATCCCTTTTTGGAGATCAAGATAAACACGTTCTTCCTTTCCCAGTGCTCCAGACGTTTGACTGAAGTGGCACAGCATTGTGAGGTTTTGTGCAAATGAAATCACTGTGTAATACTGAACGAGAGTAGTATTTACTTGTCAGGATATTTGTCAGCAAAGCACAGCACAGCACAGCATTCAGATTTCTAAGTTTCATAAATGCAACTTAGCTCAATTTTTTAGAAAATTGCTTTTGTCCTGATACATGCATTATGTTAGGGACCTT